CCCTAACTTTATCAGCAGTAGGGGTTGTCAGGACGACCTTGTGAGGGCCCATCCAAACTGGCTGAAGTGGTTACTTTTCCCAGTCTTTAACCCATATCTCATCTCCGGGCTGATAGGGATGAACTCAGTTGCCAAGAGGAATGGGTGTCCCTTCTCAGGTTTCTCGGCCAATATGGTGGAAGACTTTGCCAGGGCCTGGAGGTGTCAGGTCAGCTAGTTGTTGGGGGTCTCCCTTGAGCTTTTTTAGTCACTGGGGAGTGGTCTCCCATATGATCTCAAAGGGAGAATAGCCTGTGGACCTCAGGGTTCATTTACGGAGGGCAATGAGACTCCACAGAATAAGGCAGCTTGTTCTATCATTGTCTGGGTGTTGGCTGGGGGATATTCTTGTCGTACTAGTACTTGGAGAAACAAACTTAACAAGGAAGTTAAAGATATATGGCCCAAAGATTAATAGAAGTAGGAAAGCTGCCGAGGTGCTAGCCAGGAGAACCTATTTGGGTAAGCTTAATTAAATTTATTTTAAACTTAGTCCTATGCATGTACAAAACTTTTTCACGGTCCACATTCCACAAACCTTTTGATCACTTTCTGTAACAGCCACCCGCGTTACTTACTGACTTACTGACTTTACCACCACTGACTTACTGTCTGTAAGTCAGACCTACTTTCTTTTCCCTTTATAAAATGTAATTTTATTTTTTTATATCTTCTTTATTCAAAACATTCAAGCCTACTTTCTTATTAGATTAGCAAACAAACATTAATACTAATATTTAATATTAAATATTGATATTTAGTATTGACCATTTCCCAATTCATTCTTGTATTTAGAATTGTTTGATTTGTAAGTACTTACTTTTCGTTAGACCAATTAAATTAGAACTCATTTACAACTTCAACAATATTATCAGAAAAAAGACATATACTGAGACATACATAAATTCAGACAGACAGACTGACAGAGATCTTATAGTTTTCAGTTTGAGGTTTAAAATATCTCTTTAACCCTCCCCCTCTTTTTTTTCCTACTTGAAGTTCTAATTTGCCCAAGGCTAAGGTCTCAGGCAAAGCTGGCTGTGTATTTCAAGGACATGGAAAGGGTTAACTTCAGGCTTTTCCCTGGACAGGTCTTTTTACAAGCTAGTTGTTTTTATTATTTTTTGTTTGTTTGTTTTAAGCTAGTTGTTTTTAATTGCATATGCAAGAAGAATTGGTTTTACAGTTTCCAAAAAGAAGAATTTCTCTCACCCAGTTCAATCAGCAATCAGGCACTCACAATCGTTCAGAGGCTATCACAATGCCTCCCTTCTCTTGAGTCCCCAGGTTGCCTTAACTGTTGCTCCCTTCCTGGGAGCCCCGGAGGCTATCAGTCATGATGCCTCCCTTCCTCCCAAGTCCCTAGGTCTCCCTATCTGATGCTCCCTTCTTGGGAGCCCCAAGGAGGTTATCAGTCACGATGCTTCCCTTCCTCCCAAGTCCCTAGGTCTCCCTATCTGATGCTCCCTTCCTGGGAGCCCAAGGAGGTGATCAGTCTCCTCTTCTACCCTTGGGGTAGGTTCCTGCTTGGAGACCGGCCCCGGGGCCTCACCTTACCCTGTCGCCATTCCTGGTGAGTTGGGCCATCCCTCCAATGACTGCATTTGGGGCGCAGCTGTCGGGAGAGTCAGAACATTGGTCCAAAAGAGACCCGGAATACCATCAGGTGGCGTGCTTCCTCGTCCGTCTCCCGGTTCCTTCACTCCAGCCTGGCCGAGCCACCAGTCTGGCTGCTCAAGGGGCCTGCGTGGCTGGAATCTCGCTGGGGCCTCCAGAAATGTTTCAGAAACCAGTCCTGGAGAAACTAAGCACCACTCTTGGAGAGTTGGGGAGTGCGGGTTTATCACGCCAGCAGCCCCAGGGGAGTTAACACTCCAAGCTCTGAGCCCTGAACAAAGGGACTACAGAGATTTTATAGACAGACTATAGTGGGCAACACCAGCTGTTTTAAACTAAGGGGTTTAAATTAAGGCTGGTTTAAACTAAGGGGTTTTCACACTCGTGGGAACAGTGGTCAAAATGGGGAGGGGGATGCCTGACTTGGACAGGCATGATTAAGCAGGGTTGCAGGGGCTGGGTGATTGCAAAGAGCAGGGCAAGGGTGAGATAAAAGCCAGTTCCTAGTATTGCAAGTCCCCACTTTCTGAGACTCTGTGACCTACGTGATCCCGACTTTGCAAGGGGCAGGATGAGTTACAGAGGCAAAAGGAGGTAAATATTAACTTTTCCTTTTCAATTAAATTTATAAAATAAAATTTTTGTCCTATTTTGGGCTTTTTTTTTTTAACACTGTGTAGTATACTCATAATTCTTTCATTCAGATAATTCTGTTATAATCTACCAAGCTTTCAAGTTTTTCTTTGAGAATGTCACCATAAATTTTATGTAGTATTGCCATTCCTGGGTCTTATTCAGTGAATTTAAAATTTAAATGTTAAATCATCTTTAGTCAACTATTGCCATTGTAATGTTAAACATTATCTCTCTCATTTTTTACACAGACTTTTGAGGCATATATCAGCATGATTTATATAGACACATAATGCAGTCAGTCTTGTTAGTCTTTATTTTTTGAAAATTATTCTTCTGGTGTTTCCAATTTGTTTTCCTTTAGGAATTTCTTATTATATATAATTTCTTATTATATATAAAAATAATTATATAATTCTTATTATATATAAAAACTGTTTTATTCCAACAGTTGAAATTAAAAATTTTTTTCTTCTACCTTTTATTTTCAGAATTAGAGGTTTTGACTTAAAAAATAATCACAACCTAGAAGTTGAGCTATGTTTTGTTCCATGGGAATTTGTAGGACTTCAGGCCTGGGAGACAGCATCTCAAGTAACCCTGAGAGAGCTGCTCCTAGGAGGCAAGGGGAGGAACCAGGTTATATAAAAGTTTTACAACAAAGGGCAGGTAGTCTGAACATTAAAAGATTATTGTTAATTAAGGAAAATCAGATATGCCAGCTTAAGGAATTTACTTAAGGAATTTATGTTTTTCTATATATGGGGAGATGCAAGAGTCTGGGCTAATGAAATCTTTCCTTTGATATGTAACCTCATCTATCTGGGGCCTTTTTCCTGTTTTTCACCTCCTGAGCTCCCTTGGGGCTCATGTTAAGGAGTAGCTGCAGCCTGATGGCTGTTGTATCGCAGATATTCTTCTCCGGAGTGCCCTTAGGGCTCACCAGCTCATCTTGGAGGGCTGGAATTGCTGATGACAGGGACATCCTTATTTATTGGTATGGCAGGAAAAATTTCATTTCTCGGTGGCAGTTAGTTCTTTTCAACTATATGCTTATTTGTTGGATCTGGTATGGCTCCATTGGAAAAAAAAATTTTTGATAAAAACTCAAGACTATGAAAACCCATTAAAATAGGCTGAACATGAGAAAAATCAGAGATTTCTTTTCACATTGCTATTCTTGCATTTTTGATATGTGCTTTCTTTCCAAAAATTTTGTCTTTAATCTTTTCTAATATATTTAGGTGCGTAAATGCTTTTGGCTTTCATGAATGTTTATTTACAGAAATAATTGATTTTTTTTTACCTTCTACCTGTTTTTTCTTAATAATTATATTTTATATATCAGAGATTGGCAAACTTTTTGTGTAAAAGGCCGGATAGCAAATATTTTAGGCTCTGGGATCACAGGGCTTTTTTGCTGTAGCCACTTAGCTCTGCCTTTTTAGTGCAAAGGCACCCTTTGTATTATTTTATGTTTCTCATGCTTTGGAGACTAAGAAACATTTTCTACTGTAAACATCCAGGAGAGTGACTGAGCTCCACTGGTTAGGATGCACTGCTGCAGAGTCATACTTTTAGTGCCAAGAAGATGTGTCAGTGGATATGGATGTGTATACACAGTACAACTTTATTTATAAATATAGGCAGCCATGTGCTCTATGGTAATATGAAATAGGAAGAAGACAAAAAACATCAGAATGACATATGACATTAGGATAACTAATCTATTAAAAATGCTTTTCCCTTTCTGTTATTTTAGTTTCTTTGTGCTTGGAATAAAGGAGTTTATTTTGTTGCTTACTTTTTTAATAGCTGAAATAATTTTCATAACTTTATATAAAAATCTTCTTTAATTTATCCATTAGTCTATTGTATGATTATTTTCTACTCTCCTTGATTTTCAACTGGCATGGATTTTTGGAATACCACAACAGATGTTGAACCACACCAAAAATTAATTTAACCTTCTTGGGTATTTTTTTTTCAACTGAATTTACATTTATATATTTTGAAGAATTAAGTCATTGGTGAAGAAATTAGCATTAACAGCCCTTGTATTAAGAAAAGATATATTCTATTTTGTCCTCTCTGATGACTAATGCTCCAAAATATCGCCATTGTTATTCAGGTTTTGTGTATTTTATTTTTCTTTTTGTGTAATCTTGTCTATTTCTCTTGTTCAGTAAACCAAGAAACATTTTTGACTTTAAACCTCCAGAAGAATGTAATGATCTCCATGGGTTAGATGCATTGCGGCATAATTATGCTTTTACCGTCTGAAATCTTCCTAAACTGGCCATAATCTACCTGTTCCATCTCCTACTGGCTTTGTATCTCAGGCACATCAGCTCTGCCCAACATTCAAGACTTCAGTCAGCCCATGTTTCCTGTCGAAAATGGTCATGTATGAGTTCTCTGTGGCCCCATTTGAATGTTGCCCTCTTTCATTTCTCTATAGGCAGAGTTACCTGCTTACTTAGCTGAACACTGTATATTTGCCTCGTCCTCACTTGTTATCATATTTGGTTATCAGCCCTGCCTCCCAAACACCAGCTGTCCCTTATCACAGATACTTGGTGACAAACACATTGAGCACATAATTGTACTACATTTAGTCAACACTTCAATAAGCACATAGAGAAGAGGAAAGTCACTGATCATTGTAGACTAGTTAATCATATTTTCCCCTTTCTTTATTTTCTGTTTAGGTATTCTTGAAGTTTTACACTGTGTGCTAGTAGAAAGTCCAGAAGCTCTAAATATTATTAAAGAAGGCCATATAAAATCCATTATCTCACTTTTAGACAAGCATGGAAGAAATCACAAGGTAAGTGAACCATTTTATTGCCAGAAATGAATTCTGGAATAATTTCAAACATATCCTTTAAAAAGATAATTTTTAAAAGGTGTCACATTTTTCATGTTTTTCGCTTTTTAACTGCAATCAGATAATACTGCGCAGTGGTTATGCATAGCACCAGTGGGAGAATGGAGCAGTTCTCAGTTGTGGAAAATAAGTGGACACATTGCTATCATGTTTAAAGTGACTGGGTCAGAGGTACCTGGAGGGAATGTGTTTCTGTTTGTGGAAATTACTGCTGATGCTTGAATCTGAAAAGGGAATGAGAGCCAGCTGAACGGGATTTCACTTTTCAGGTTCTGGATGTCTTATGCTCTCTCTGTGTTTGCCATGGAGTAGCAGTCCGTTCTAACCAGCATCTCATCTGTGACAATCTTCTGCCCGGAAGAGACCTGTTATTGCAGACTCGCCTTGTGAACCATGTGAGCAGGTAGGTTCAGAGAGACCATGTCACCAAATTGGTTGTATAATAGGAATTCAGATACCCAAAATACAATAAATTCTGTAAATCAGTGAAACTACATTTCCAGTTAGATCTACTTTCCAATGTGTCAGACATTCATTGGGTACTCTGTGCCAGGCGCAATGTCAGATTCTTTACAAGCCTTCTTCACTGTTTGTGTGTGCATGAAGTATTACTATTATCCATGTTTTATAAATTAAAATTTTTGAGCTGAAAATGAGGCTAGAGTCTAATTCCAGAGATTGAGTTCTTAACCATCATGTTATAATGCCTTCCATATGTAATAATGATAATATTGAATATAATTAAGAAGGTGTTATGTGTGGTAGTAATGACTTTGATACACTTAGCACAGTGTTTAGCAGCTATCCAGGAAATACTTGCTACTTCACCATGTTTCAAACAAAAATGTGGGGTTTGGTATGTATTTCTCCTCTGTGTTTTTTTTTTTTTTAAAACAAATATATTGTGTTTTTTTTTAAACACAAATATATTGTGTTTTTTTTTAAAACAAATATATTTTTTTTTAAACACAAGTATATTGTGTTTTTTTTAATAAAGATTCATTTGAGACTTCCTTTATTGTTCTTTCTATACGAGACCTGTTGTTAATGGATGGCATTCCTGAGACTTTCTCTAATCCCTAATGTTAATTTAGGGTTAGGATCTCTTCATAAAATGCAATTAAAATACAACTAACTAGAGACTCTTCACAGCGAGACATAGAGAAAAACAAAGGTGATTAATCACTTTGGTTCCTTCACTAAGTCTTTGACTTGTGTCAGCCTCAAACCCTGTGTGACACAAACCTTAGCTTAGGAAAATGTCTCTATGTCCTGGATTAATAATAACTCCATTAATTCTGGGGCCTGATGCTATCCTGAGTGTCTCCCCTTAAATATGATTTATGATATAAAAATAGGTTGAAGAGCAGTTACGAAAAAATGTAGTAGGCTGTTGAGTGATGTAGCCAAATATTCCCAAAAGTAAACATAAGTCACTGAACATTAACTGTACGATTGGCTGTTAGAGTAGACTTCAGTGATTGTTTCAATAATTTGTTGCACTTAAGGAAACATTGGGTTTCCCAAAAAAGTCAATAAGGTTTTTCTGTACAATGTTTTGGAAACCCAAACAAACTTCTTGGTCAATGCAATGTATCTTTGAGAAGCAGGACTAATTAAGGATAGCATGATGTAATAGATTGAGACAATGAAAGGTTTATTTGGATTTTCTCACATGCTATTCCCATCTCTTGAAAGCATGAGGCCCAATATTTTTCTGGGTGTCAGTGAAGGCTCTGCGCAGTATAAGAAGTGGTACTATGAGTTGATGGTGGACCACACGGAGCCGTTTGTGACTGCTGAAGCCACTCACCTGCGCGTGGGCTGGGCTTCCACCGAGGGCTACTCACCCTACCCCGGCGGGGGCGAGGAATGGGGTGGGAACGGCGTCGGAGACGACCTCTTCTCCTACGGATTCGATGGCCTTCACCTCTGGTCAGGTACGTACCATCCATTTTCCTTCACAGTGTTCTCGAAGGAAATCTTGTGCCCTTACTGTACATTTCCATAACCTGTTTGTGTTGATCCAGTCAGATATATTGATTTCAAAAATGCAGCACTAAAATGATGAAAGTGGTAAGTCAAAAGCAAAATTTCACTAGAGGAAAAAGAAAACTCTTACAATTATAGTACATCTCCAAAAGACTGAATTGGGTATGAATGATATATATCAGTAGTGGCATTCTGATTCACAAATTGAATGCAAAAAATTAAATGTTTCCTACTTGCTTTAGTTGGTATATGCAAAGCTTTAGCTTCCAGTATAAACAGGAACCAAAAAAATCCTGGAAAATAATCATAATAAAAAGACTAAGTTTCATCTCTTGGCTGATAGTTTAATGTCAGGAATGGGTAATTTATTAAATGTATTATGAGGAAACAGCCCAAAATCAAATGATGNTTCCTACTTGCTTTAGTTGGTATATGCAAAGCTTTAGCTTCCAGTATAAACAGGAACCAAAAAAATCCTGGAAAATAATCATAATAAAAAGACTAAGTTTCATCTCTTGGCTGATAGTTTAATGTCAGGAATGGGTAATTTATTAAATGTATTATGAGGAAACAGCCCAAAATCAAATGATGTGGTTGTTTCAGAAGTGTGGAGCTATTAAAAAATAAATGTATAGCTCATTTCACTAGCTAACAACCCTACGCTTTAATGATTGAACATATATTAAAAATTAGTAATATGTAAAAATATACTCTTTTCTGATTTATCAAAAGATTTATTTTGATTGGCTCTGTTTAAAAGTTTAGCTTTTAATTTTGTAGATATTAGATTTCATCTGGATTCTACAGACTTATGCTTGTATTCATAAAGCTGCATTTAGAATGAATCCAAATTTATTTTATAACACATTTAACCTATAGAAGGGGGCTCCCGGGTGGTGCTAGTGGTAAGACTACTGCCAACACAGGAGACTCGAGAGACACAAGTTTGATCCCTGGGTTGGGCAGATCACCTGAGTAGGAAATGGCAACCCACTCTAGTATTCTTGCCTGGAAAACTCTGGACAGAGGAGCTCATGCACTACAATCCATGGGATCACAGAGTGGGACGTGACTGAGCACACACAGCCTACAGAAAATATGCAGAGGTTTCTTACATCACAAAAAGGTGAACTTCACCTCTTATGGGCAAATCAAATGATATTCATTTATTAATGCTGTATAAATCATAAACTATGAAAGATATTTTAATTTAAATTTAATTAAAGCCTAAGAGTCTGCGGTAAGGGGGTTTACACATGAAAGCACTCTGTATTTGTGTTCAACAGTAATGGTTACTAAATCTTCCCTTTATTCAGTGCCGATAGCTCAGTAGCCTGGAAGAGGTGAAGCTGTATTTTGGGTGTTTTATCTAACCTGTGGGGCACTGGTTGGGGCCCAGGCAACAGTGTGGTACGTCTTATACACTGTGTACTGTGCTGGTCAGAAAGAGTCACAGTGCTTGTTCCAGAGTTTTTCTACTGACTGAAAAGGCAAAGAGCCCTAACTTCAAAAGACCTGACAAACTTGAAATAGAATTAGTGTCTGTTTTATAAGACATTTCAACCGTTACCCCTGAGAGGTCGTCCTCCCTCTGTTAGCTTCACATGTCGCTGCACACAAAATGGATCCTCAGCTGGATGAATGAAACAGGTTCACTTGTTTTCCTGTTGCATAAAATTTAGGGGAAAACAAAACACTACTCTGGTTTTTTTTTTTTAAATGCTACATTGCATCTAATTTCAACCATATAGCGTCACTTCATTAAATGGTGAAGTTTGCATTTAGTTTGAAGCTTTTTCTATCCACACATGGGAAGAACCCAGAGCCTCTGGAATTGGACTGTGTCCAGTATGCCTTTTATGACTAAGTATCTGTTAAATAGAATGATAAGAGCAACAGAAATATTCAGTGAATCTATCACAGAAAGGAGCATAGGTTGTGGAATTTCAGGAGAAAATCATCTTGAAACTTTAATTTATATCAAGAGAAAATACTTGACTGTTTTTCCTAATGGCAAGAAAATATGTGCAGTTGATGGCTGTGTTCTCTTAAGCCACTGGGATCGCTTGCTAATTTTAGATTCATGATCAATAAAGGCAGATCTAAGTTAATTGGCTTCTGACTGAGTTACCATGGTTAAATTCATCTTAGGTCGCATAATCTTCTCAGGTTTACTCTCCTATTCCTTTTCTTTCTAATGGTTGCGGTTGAATTTAAAGTATTAAGCATCTGTGATTTCTGGGGAAAAACAAAAACAAACACTTAGCTTTTTGTGACTGGAGAGTAGAGTTGTTCCTTGGTACCAGAGTTTGGTTTATCAGCAAAAGTTTCGATCTCTGTTTTCACTTCTTCTTCCCACCTTAAACTTTGCACAGCATTGCTGCGTTCCTCTTGGGGAATAATGATTTTGTTTCTGGCATCCACATCTTCTGTATATTAGGGTCAATAGTGTGAAAAAAATCTCAGTGCTGTTGACGAACTTAGGTATAACAGAATGAAGGAATGTCAGAGAATAGTAGAGGAAAGAAAGGTAAGGATTCTCTTATAGGACCTATGAAAAGCCCACTGCTATCTTCCTTTCTGGCTGATGTAGAAAATAAGAATGTAGTTCTCACATTGATTTGATAAACCTATTAAGTCATAAATGCAACCGGAGAATGCTCACTAGCAGATTCAGCAGTGTCAGTGCCACTGAAACTATGGACTTAGGTTGGTTGCTGGTGATCTTTTCTCTCTAACCTAATTGTTTCAGGCATTACAAAACAGTTTACCATGGGGACTTTTAATAGTCATTGGTTTTAGCATACTCATTCCTCAGATTGAACAGTATACTTGGATTATAGTAAATATCTGTTGACTGCTTCCCAGGTTTGTCAGTGGTAAAGAATCTACCAGGTAATCTTGGGAAGATTACCTGAAGAAGGAAATGTCTACCCACTCTAATATTCTTGCCTGGGAAATCCTATGGACAGAGGAACTTGGTGACTGTAGTCCATGGGCTCGCAAATGAGTCGGACATGACTTAATGACTAAATAGCAACAAATATCTGTATAACCATATTATCAGCTACAGATCTTGATACAGACAGGAATGCAGAACTTTGTGAGTTCTGTTGCTTTTTGCGTGATTTTCTTAAATAATTCCCTTTATTATATCTAGGAAATTCTAGAGGGACCACTTCATAATGAATTTACTACTTGCAAATTTGAATATTGGTAAAATTAAAAATCTACATATTTTATAATGTAGATCTGCCCTGCTATTGGCATTTGAACATATTGTTGGTAAAAATCTGGACATGCTAGAAATTTTAAATAGGTGTTATAAAAATTCAAAGCTGGCATCAAATCTATTTTTGTCTTTGCTCAAATTGAAAAGTACTGTATGTTCACATTTGTGAGCATGTACGTTTAGGAGAATCTTACCTTCTTGTTTTCCAGTTTGCCCACGGGACTCATAGGCCAAGGAGTTCTGACACAGTCAAGAATGAGTGTAGATCATAGGTTGGCCAGGGCAAGAAATGACATTTATCCAGTATCATTTTCATGCCTCAACTTGTATCCTGCTGTTTCCTACTTAAGAAGCCAACCAAGGTCTTGTAGGAATAAATTATAGAACAGAAACAAACCAATTGATGTTTACTGTCTCTCAACAAATAATGCACAAATGATCATATTTTCTGTTTTCTTCAGTATCCTTTTATGTTTTTATTTTATAAAATAAAGGGAATTTAATCTCTGAGATGGGGACTGAAGTGAATACCTCCCATGTCTAAGACTCTGTTCTTGTATAACATTAATTTAATCATCATAGCAACTCTGCAAGGCAATGGCCTTTGGTTTACAAGAAGTCAAGGCTTATAGAGGTTAAGTAATTTGCTGATGGTAAAGTAGATCTTTGACTTCAAGTCTTTCCCTAGAGGTTTTCCCCTGACATCATTATGTTATCAACTCTAAGATGGTATCTGTATCAAATACCATCCATCTGCATGCAAAATTTTCTGCGTATCAGAAGATCCATTTTACAATAAAAATAGCATTGCTCCTAAAAAAAGCAACAGTTTTTTTTTATTAAAGATCTGACATATAACATGAATACATATTCAAGATTTATTCTAGTCCAGTGCTATTCATTGTCACTGCCTATTCAAATCTTTAACTTGGTCTCTGGCGATGATTTTCTCTGAGATAAAAAGACATCATCCTCCTTTAATGTGTTTCCCCACAGGTTGTATTGCCCGGACTGTCAGCTCACCAAACCAGCATCTCTTGAGAACTGATGATGTCATCAGTTGCTGTTTAGATCTAAGTGCCCCAAGCATCTCCTTCCGAATTAATGGACAACCTGTTCAAGGCATGTTTGAGAATTTCAACATTGATGGCCTCTTCTTTCCAGTTGTTAGTTTCTCTGCAGGAATAAAGTTAGTATCACTGTTTTTTGGTCTGTTTGCCTTCTCATTTCTCGTTCTTTCACAGAAGACTCTGCACTGCCATCACACTTTCTTCACTAACCTGTTCTGGGCATCCGTCTACAGGGCATTTTGCCCTGTAGCAAAATGTTCCCTGAAGCAACAGGCAACTTGTTCCTTGAAGGTTGGAGATAAGATTAATTCAAGAGGGGAATCTCAGGAAGCTGAGTGCTTTGTCCATATATCCAGCCATTTAGATAACTCAGTCTAATATCTCTTCCTCTATCCAGTATCCAGAAATATTTCTAGTCCACTTAAGTTCACTTTTTTCTTTACTAAGGGTAAATACACAATATTGGATTAAAAATGTCACTAATTTTTTCATATTTATTTTCATTAATTTTTCTTTTCATTATATTCTGGACTCTAAACCCCCTCATTTCTAGAGAAATGACACATTTTTGGGTGATTAGGTCAAGATGACTCCTTTCCGTATCACCCTCTACCTGTTATATTTGTAAATAACCTGCTTGTGATCAGCTGGGTCAAGGTGGTTTTCTCTAACCCTTTGCTTTTTTGCTACTACCAGACAGAAAGAGTAATTAAAATGATAATTCAGTATCAAGAAGTGTCATTTGAGTTCCCTTAAGGAATTTCACAGGTAAATTGAATGCTAGAAAGTGGCTGTTTTTTCTTTTTATCAGATCTCATCCAGCCCTGTAATTTTAAGTATTGATATATAGGTATTTAGATCAAGTTCGTCTTTCTCTGTTGGTTATTTGGGTACCTTGAGGTATTAAATGACCAAATACTACAGACAGGTATTTCATTCACATAGGAATATGGTGCATGTGCTTTTATTATTTCTCCAGAGACTGATATGGTTTTGCTGAGCAATTAACATAATTTAATCAGGTTTTACTTTTATGATTAGAGGCTCTTACTTAGTTACTGACCTCATGATGGTTCTTAGAGGAAAAGATGTGACTTCTGACAAAGTTAAATTTATACTAAGAATTTATTCCTTGAATTTCGTTGATTAGGAAACTTTTCTGTATGCCAGAGATATAACTTACCCTGACATGCATCCTTTTTAGAGTACGCTTTCTGCTTGGGGGGAGACATGGAGAATTTAAATTCCTTCCTCCGCCTGGATATGCTCCTTGTTACGAAGCTGTTCTGCCAAAAGAAAAGTTGAAAGTGGAGCACAGCCGAGAGTACAAGCAAGAAAGGACTTACACACGGGACCTCCTGGGCCCCACAGTTTCCCTGACACAAGCTGCCTTCACACCAATCCCAGTGGACACCAGCCAGGTACCGGATCATCAGCTGTGATGGCAGTGTTTGAATTGCAGCCATTCCTAAATGCAGTGGGTTTCAAACTCCTTGGACTGCAACCTATAGGAATGCATTTTACAGTAATACAGTTTATATGTATAAGTGAAGCAAGTTTCGTAAAACAATGCTTACCTTTATTATGTCCGCTTTCTCATTTTGAGTCTGTTCTGTGTTTTGAAAGTGTTTTTAAGTCACTAAATTGATTTTACAGTGTACAATTGGGCCACAACCCAAGTCAATGCTTAACTAATTTTAGAGTGTTTTTTATATAAGTAGTAGTGGAATTTTAAATTTCTTCTCCTTGTCTATGTACAGTTGGCATTTTTAAGTGGTTTAACTGACTTTTATCTCAGGTAGAGATTGAGATCATAAACTCTAGAGTCAAAATGTCTTGGATCCAGTGCATGCTCTGAGACTTGAAAAAATTACTCATCTCATTGATTGGAATGCTAAGAGTATGTTCAATGTATAATAAAGAACATATTGGCACCATACTTTGCAAATAGGCACCCAAGCAATGTTAGCCATAATTCACGCTCTTCTCTTTCATAGACGTGAAATTATCCTGACACTGAATTAAATATTGTTTTATTTTGAAGGTGAAGTAAGTTCAGTCCAGTTGGTTAGATAGTCATAGTTTGTTCATTAGCTTTCAAAGATCAGAGGCGTTGCTTCTAAAGTCTGATACAGAATTAAGAGCAAGCCTCAGACGCCTCTGTGGTTTAGTGCCGTGAAACGTATTTCCTGTCTCTCCCTGCCAGCTTTTTATATGATGCATAACATAAGCATGCTTTGTTCATGGCTCACATTCAGTTTGTGTTGCCATTGCTGGAACAAGGCAGGGTGTATATGGTGCTTTCAGAGTTGAGCAGGAAACATGATTGGAGGATGGAAATCAACTGGAACAGACAGTGGGATTCCTTGGTGTCACTAGCACATTTAGGATTTCCTGAGACCTGGATAACCTCTTGTTTGGAGGGGAAGGAGGCAACGCGGGCCTGCTCCCCATGGAAACTCCACCCCATCCATGAACATTGTAGGCAGTTGCCTGTTATCTGTGTTGAGGGACTGATTGTGGGGCAGTGTCTGTGCATCATTAGACATGTACAGCCAACCCCTCACCTTGAAAATCATTTAGTGTTCTTTATGAAGAGGCCATTAAACTTCCCCTTTTTAAGGGAAACATGTTCAGATTTCCCCCCCTGAGGCTTATACTTAGAAACCACTGCAAGTAGCAGAGTTAAGGGACGATATAAATCTTTGCCATCAGATATTTCTAAACTCAGCAGATTATATTTTGGACACTGAATTGCCTTCATCCTGGCCTGTGAATGTTGGCCAGGTTGGTTTAAGGAGTCTGGAGTGATTTCTCTTTTTAAATAATCCATATTCCAGTGATTATCCCATATCCATTAAGACCTTTTTTTTTTTTTTAAATGATGGCTGTCCTCAGTAGTACTCTGTTTTCTTTCTTTTTAAATTTTGTTCCCCAAATTTACCTAATAATTATTTAGATACCTAATTTTATAAATTTAGAATGGATTATCTGGAACCCAGTTATATGATTACATTTCAATCCACAGTAAGAGCAGTTAGCATTGCATTTTCTTGCATTTGTTTCTGATGTGTGTTTTCTTTTCCTCTTTTTAAAATTTTAGATTGTGTTGCCTCCCCACCTGGAGAGGATACGAGAAAAACTGGCAGAGAATATCCATGAGCTCTGGGTGATGAATAAAATTGAACTTGGCTGGCAGTATGGTCCGGTACATAATTTTGAAATTTATTCTCAGATTCTGTTATTACATCTTTCTGAAAACATTACTTCTTTTCACTCATCCTGCTGTATGGTGACATGAATTGATCTGATTGAGTTTTTTCATCCTAAGTTTTATTTTGTCTGCAGTTTTTCTTTATGAGAGGGAATGACATTAGTGGTGGGGTCATTGAAGGATGGGTTAGTTGCCTAGACAATTGAAGAGTTATTAATATTCAGGTTGAAAGTTACATTTTTAAAATCAAAGTTAACATATACAGACAATAGGCATTGATTTCTAGGGACCTTAGGAAGAAATTTCATTGAAACTGAAAGTGAGAACTGAAAATGGAAAGAAAAAGGTTAATTTACTCCCCTCCTCTGATGTTTCTTTTAGTCCCAGTTGTATTTAGTAGTATAAGTTCACAGGGCAGAGGTTCACAGTTGGTTTCATAAGTGGAAGAGAGGCTGAGAAATAATGATTGCATAAGTTTCCAAATGATTATTGTTTAGAGAACTTAGTTTATAGTTTATCAATAAAATTTAGGTGACACCAAAACGACTTCTCATGTAGTACCAGTGTGTTATACACCTTTTTTTTTTAAGCAGGACTGTGGCAGTGCTTTCATTTTTATGATATTAATAGTCCAAATATCCTGATATTTATGACACTTATATTTGACTGAATATAGAAATGAGTGTATTCAGCACAGTCCTAATTTGTTGCATTAAGCTTTGAATAATGACGTTTATTATTAGTGTTAGTAGTAATACCATGCTTGTTGTTGATTAGTTGCTAAGTCACGTCTGACTCTTTATGACCCCGTGGACTTACAGCCTGCCAGACTCCTTTGTCCATAGGATTTCCCAGGCAAGAATACTGGAGTGGGGTGCCATTTTCTTCTCCAGGGGATCTTCCTGACCCAGGGCTCGAACTCATGTTTCCTGCATCGAAGGCAAATTTTTCACCACTGAGCCACCAGGGAATACCATGCTACTTTATACTAATTATGGACTTTCCTGGTAGGTCAGACGGTAAAGTGTCTGCCTACAATGCGGAAGTCCTGGGTTCAATCCCTGGATCTGGAAGATCTCCTGGAGAAGGAAATGGCAAACCACTCCAGTATTCTTGCCTGGAAAATCCCATGGACGGAAGAGCCTGGTAGGCTACAGTCCATGGGGTAGCAAAGAGTCGGATATGACTGAGCGACTTCACTTTCTTTCTCTTTCTTTATACTAATTCGTCTTATTTATTTAGAGCTTTGTCTTTTCACTTAAAGGTATTGGGGTAATCGTCGTAGTAGCACGCTGGGCTGTGTGTTATTATTTCAAATTAACCAGTGATGCCACTGCCGATGATTCAAATGCCTTCCAGCTAGTTTCTGTGCTGGAACTAGGATCCAACTTCTCTGGCTTCTTGTCTAGAACTGTTTCACTATAAGACTTGCTGATGCATGATCAGAAATGGGATCCTTTCATTAATTCAGTGATAGTTAGGCAGTTGTCTAGTCAGCAAGCACTTAAAGTACCTTATTAAGTATGTGGTTTTATGCAATATTCTTTGACTTTTAAAAATTGAGGAAGTGAATGAGTGTTAAATAAGATGTTTATCATTAATTAAAGTCAGTAGGAGGTGAGATATTGTAGAAGTATTCCTAGTCACTTGGCAGAGAATTACAGACAAATTTACCACAAGATTCGAGATAGGGAAAGATTTGAATTACAGACAAAATTCAGAGGAAGATAATTACAGGCTAGGATTTAAAAAGATCTCATACAAACAAATAACTACCCCCCCAAAAAAATCATAGTAACAGGAATTGTTTAATAGATTTACACTCAAAAAAGATGATTTCTATTGCAAGCTTCTATAGGTTGCCTAAATGATAGCATTCTACAATGAACTTCTTTATGTTTCTTCTTCTAAAAAAAGAGGAAATATAAGGTCTCATTATTATCTATTCTTGCAATTAAATTCAGTTCATTTCAACACCATACCATTATTGCTACTAGTTTGCAGGTGCTGAAAGGGAACACAGTGCTTCTGAGGCAAAGTGACTGTGGCCAGTTCCACTTTACCTGGTCTCAGACTGATGACAGCAACTTTGGGTTTTACGTGCCTCTGGGGGGGGATTCAGCACTTAGTCTGTTGCTGTGGTGCTGGCACCTGGCACCTTTCCTGGGACAGGGAATCGACCAAATACGTGCTGAAAGAATGAAACCGTTTTTTCTTAGGTCTCACTCTGGGCAAGCACAACCACAAATATCCTATCAGATCAGTAATTTGGGAGAGTCTCAGACTGACACGTGAAGAGGTTTTGCATTGTCCTTCCATCTCATAATTGACCTTTGTCTTCTTTGACTCGGGCTCTCCTAAAACTCTTTTCAGATCAGTATCTTTGACCCCTGGCTTTATCATCTCTGTTATCCTAGACTTAGGTACACCTCTCACCGAGACCAATTCCATAAATGTTTGATGTGTTCCAGTCTTTCTCTGAGTTAATATTTTAGAATTCATCCATTTAAGGAGTGCAGGTCCATGTTTTATGTTGTTGTTTTTTCCTGTTTGTCAGTTACCTTTTATTTTTTAATTTAGTAATTTTTAATTGAAGGATAACTGATTTACAGTATTATATTGCTTTCTGCCATATGGCAGCATGAATCGGCCATAGGGGTACATATGTCCCCTCCCTCTTGACCCTCCTTCCCGCCCCATCCCACCCTCTAGGTGGTCACAGAACTCCGGTTTGAGCTCCCCGACTCATGCAGTGAATTCCCATTGCTGTTTTGCATGTGGGAGTATGTAGTTTCCATGCTGCTGTCTCCATTCGTCCCATGCTCTCCTTCCCCCCCGCCCCGTGTCCACAGTCTGTTCTTTGTGTCTCTGTCTCCATTGCTGCCCTGCAAATCGGTTCATCAGTACCGTCTTTCTAGATGCCATATATATGCATTAATATACAATATTTGTCTTTCTGACATACTTTACTCTGTATAATAGGCTATAGATTATAGTCAGGTTATAACTGACTCAAATGGGTTCCTTGAATGGAATATACAATATTCCATTGTATAGCAACTGTGTTTTTCTTTGGAGTAATTTGAACTCTTGAATAAATTGTGGTTTTTTGCTTTTATTTTTTGCAAAGAAATTAGTTTCTTTAAATGTCTTTGGGGTGTATTTCACTGGAGCATCATGCAAGAGCTCTATTTTTTTAAATTAATTTATTTTTTTATTGAAGGATAATTGCTTTACAGAATTTTTTTGTTTTCTGTCAAACCTCAACACGAATCAGCCATAGGTATACACATATCCCCTCCTGTCTCAACCTCCCTCCCATCTCCCTCCCCACCCCACCCCTCTAGGTTGATACAGAGCCCTTGTTTGAGTTTCCTGAGCCGTACAGCAGATTCCCGTGGGCTATCTATTTTACATATGGTAATATAAGTTTCCATTCACTCTTTCCATACATCTCACCCTCTCCTCCTCTCTCCCCATGTCCATAAGTCTATTCTCTATGTCTGTTTCTCCATTGCTGCCCTGTGAATAAATTCTTCCTAGTACCATTTTTTAGAATACAATATTTATCTTTCTCTTACTCACTTACCTCACTCTGTATAATAGGTTCTAGGTTCATCCACCTCATCAGAACTGACTCAAATGTGTTCCTTTTTATTGCTGAGTAAATTCCATTGTGTATATGTACCACAACTTCTTTATCCGTTCATCTGTGGATGGTCATCTAGGTTGCTTCCATGTTCTAGCTATTGTAAATAGTGCTGCAATGAACAATGGGATGAATGTGTCTTTTTCAATTTTGGTTTCCTCAGGGTATAGGCCTAGGAGTGGGATTGCTGGGTCATATGTGGTTTTATTCCTAGTTTTTTAAGGAATCTCCATACCGTCTTCCATAGTGGCTGTATCAGTTTACATTCCCACCAATAGTACAAGTGCATTCCCTTTTCCCACACTCTCTCCAGCATTTATTGTTTGTAGACTTTTTGTTGATGGCCATTCTGACCGGTCTGAGGTGATATCTCACTGTAGTTTTGATTTGTATTTCTCTAATAATGAGCATTGTTGAGCGTCTTTTCATGTGTTTGTTAGCCGTCTTTATATCTTCCTTAGAGAAGTGTCTGTTTAGATCTTTTTCCTGCTTTTTGATTGGGAGCTCTATTTTATGTAAAAACATCAGGCAGGTCCTTTCAAGCCTTCATCTTTCTCCTTTGCATACTATTTGCCTAACCTTGTGTTTGGTACTGTAGTCCTCAAATTAAAAAGACCTTGTTTTAGTGAGTTTGCCTTTTAAAAGAGCTTCTGGTTTAGCTGAGTAATAGACACACAAACAATACAAACTTAGAACTATGATGGATAAGCTAAGTGTGAGCGAGGGATATTTATAGCTCTCCTGGTAAAATCAGGGAAGGCTTCCAGAGGGTGGTGAATACTTGATCTGAGCTCTGCTATTCCTGTGGAAGAGCAGTGAACCTGGAGGCAGGAAAAAGTTCAGGGAGAGGACTCAGGTAGGAGGTAGTGAGGTTCCCAGTCGTGTACTGGCAGGAAGAATGGAGAGATATGACTGCAGATGTTTTGAAGAAGTTCAAGTATGGGAAGTGTTTAAGAGAAGGAAGGAAATCTGGATAGATTTCTTGTTTTAGCTTGGGACCCGAGAGGATGATGGGGACAGTTACTCTGTGGTGTAGAGAGTAGAGGGTAAGTGGAAATTACATAGATATAGAGTAAATTGTCTTTGAACTTGGGCACATTCATTTTTACCTTTATGTTTAGCATTTAGTGTTTGGTTTTGTAACTCACGGCTTCATTTCCACACTTATACCCTTAAGTAAATAAGCTGTGTGCTCTTGTGTAAGTCCTGTTCATTTTTAATGATCAATAAAGAAAAGACTAACTATCTTGTTTCTAACTTGTCAGCTCCTGAATACTTTAAAAAAATTCTTGCTTCTGTTTTCCTACTTTTTTATGTGACATTTATAAAACCTGGTAATTATTCCCAGGGAGTAATTTGTTCCTTGAGAGCATATGGCTGTGATTGAGGTGTCACCGCAGCAGTAATGCTTGTGTAATTTAGGCCTCTAAGAAGACAAAAATCTAATTACTAATGCAAGGATATAGAACACCTTTCTCATTAATTCAGTCCTAAAATCTTGACTTTAGTTTATTCTGATTGCTAGCACTTTCAAGGATTAATATGAAAGGTATCTGTGGGATATTACCTTGCTTTGGTAAGGCTCTGGAGTGACTTGTTAGAGCAGAAGTAACTTACATAGGATGAAATGAACAGCTGGAAGGAACCACCACCAAGAGTTTGTATCAGTCAGTCATGATGTTAATTGATATCTCTAATCTGTGTCTAAACATGTAACAATAACAACTGAGTTACTACTACACCTTCTTACCTAGAGTTCATTTCAGTTTAAAAGCATTTGTTGCATGCCTGCCATGTGCCAGGCACATGCTCAGTGCTGAGAATACATTATCAAAGAACAAAAAGGCCCAGTCCCTCTTCCTTTGGTCTTACATTCTTGCAGTGCAGGAAGATAGACAATCCCATAAATAAGACCCTAGTCTGCTTGCCAGTGGTAACTGTTATGGAAAAAAAAAAAAATAGCATGAGCTGCAGATTGGCAGATTAGGAAGGTGGGGAGGACAAGCCACACTGAGAAAGTAAGGCTGAAGCCAAGGCTGTAAGTTGCCGTGAGTGGGCATGGAGGTTTCAGGGGAGAGCAGACGTGAAAGCTGGGACTGACTGGGAATGGTGGCAAGGAGAAGGCGTGAGGCAGCCCAGACAATGCCAGGTTTACCACTGACCTTCAGCGTTAGCCATGCCTGAGGGACGACAGAGGCCGCCTTGCTGGGATGAAGGTCGCAGTGTCCCTTCTTGCTTCCCACTTCACCTTCCTCCATGCAATTGGATAACCATCATTAGTGCAGAACCTTAGAAACTGTCATATGCTGATTTCCGGCTCTGTTTCAGGTTAGAGACGACAATAAGAGGCAACACCCGTGTCTGGTGGAGTTCTCCAAGCTGCCTGAGCAGGAGCGCAATTACAACCTACAGATGTCGCTTGAGACCCTGAAGTGAGTTTCTTAAACTTCTCATTTTCCTCTCTGTTTTCCCTGAAGGAAACAAGGTGTTGATATTTCAGTTTAATTTATTTTAACTCCAGTTGGGTTTTTTTCATAATGCATTGGTAATTGAATCCGTATTTGTTTGTACTAGGCATTGAACATGTTACTTTATGACTTTGTGCTCTATGTGTTTCCTAAAGGGTACTCTATGGATGTTTATGGGTATTTGGGAATATAAGGATTTTGCCATTGTACTCAGTACTTCTCAGATTGTCAGTTATAAATTGTTCCTGGTGTGTGACAAGATAAGTGATGATACTAAAATGAGTGTTTCAGAATTTTTATACCAGTTAAGGTATTGCATTGAGCTTTGAATAATGACATGCATTATTAGTGTTAGTAGTAATACCATATGCTACTTTATACTAATTAGTATATTTATTTATTTAGAGCTTTATTTTTTCACTTATAGATGCTGGGTTAAACTTCCTAATAGCACCCTGGGCTGTGTTTTATTATTTCAGATTGACCAGTGATGTCACAGCTGAGTATTCTCATGGAGTTGTCAAATGTTTTGACAGTTAGTTAGTAGCTGTGCTAGAACAGGGATCCAGTTTCTCTAACTTCTCATCTAGAACTGTTTTTCACTGTAAGACTTGCTGATACATGATTAGAAAATGGGATCCTTTCACTAACTCAGTAATGGTTAGACAGTTGTTAAATAGCAAGTACTTATGAAGAACTTACTAAGTATATAGTTTTGTGCTTTTCTATCCTTGTTGGACTTGAAGAACTGGATTTGTTCCAGTAGATCACTTATCCTAATACCTGCTTATGTTAGGAATGAAACAATACTTTTCCCCCTATTTTTGTTTTGTTTCAGTTTTGTTAAGTGTAAAGAGCTATTTCTATTGAAATTATTTTACCAAAGATCTAGAACATAAACACTGTTTCAAGTTCTACGACTTCAGTCCAGGTATATATCTGCAAAGATGATGTAGTAATTTTCATTATGAAAATAAATGAATAAATTGGGCCTTGAGTTTGGGCTCTACTAGTAACTTAAAAGGGAAAGGAATATATGAATACAAATCAAGTAAATGGAGAAATCACTACAGGTAACTAATGACAAAGCTTTTCTGTAATAAGGACCACAGAACACATCGCTGTCACCTGTGTATCTCCTCTTTGCATCTCTTGTCTTCCTCTGTGATCTTGATGTGAAGCTTATACATTTATCTTGGTAATTCATGACAGCCCATTATTTATCCATCTCTTAAAACAAAATGATTTTATTGAAAGTTCATTGCCTTAGATAATTTCGTTAAATTTGTGGTACAGTCCCTGTAATTTTAACAACTGACAGCTAAGCCAGCTAGGCAGATCCTGGGTAACCTGTAATGTAGAAGTCTGCATATTCTCATTTGGCATGTGAACCTTTGACTGCTACACATGATCTAGTCTCATTCCTTTCAGTCCCTGGTGGCTGGTTTGATTAATCATAAGACTGCACATACCATGGTGCTGTTGCCTATGGTGAATGTTAATAAACCTTTTCAAGAACTCATTCTTAATATTTACATGGTGTTATGATGGACTCATTTCACTTGTTTCTTTAAAATTTAAAATAGAGCTCCTATTCTGCAAAATTCAAACTATGCCCAGTCAGTAGTTTAAAGAAAGTATAGTGCTTTCTGTGTTTGTTTTATCCACTTGATTAGTTACAGGCACTAGAACAGACTGGGTAAGAACAAGGAATCTAGATGATTGGATGGTTAGGATTTAAGGACTTGCTTCTCCAGAGGAAATCTTAGTATCTCTGAACCTTAGGCTTTTTATTAATAGCATCAGTTTAAAATGAGTATCATAGTATATCTACTTAGTGAAATTGTAGTAAATATTAAATGACACGCAACTGATAAAGCCTCTAGCACCATCATGTCTAACAGAAGAAGCACTCTATAAAGTTTAGGTGTTTTTTCTTTTTTATATATACTATGGGGGAGATTAGCAACTTTACTCACTAAATTCTGAGGAGTGCCAAGTAACAAATAAGCAAACGATTTCAGAATATTTCAGAATATTCCTTATTTTGGATTTGTGGTGATTTCATGTGAATATGATTTTTTGTTGTTGCACTTATGTGATTTTTGTCATGTAAATTGTTGACAAAGATAGCTAACTTCCAGATTTGAATGGTCATCTGTACGTTGTATAGCACTGCAGAAATTCTGACATCCTCTTTCAAAGCAGCACTGTACTACCCTAGCCTACGCTGCCTTTTTTTAAACTGAGGTATAATTGATGTACAATGTTGTATCAGTTTCAGGAGTACTGCACAGTGATTCAGTTATCCACACACACACACACACACACACACACACGCGCGCGCGCGCACAAACACACACATATATATAGTCTTTTTCAGATTTTTTTCGCTTATAGGTTACTGTAAAATATTAAGTATAGTTCCCTGTGCTATACAGTAGGTCCTTATTGGTTATCTGTTTTGTATGTATTAGTGTGATACATGAATCCCAACCTCCTAATTTATCCCTCCCCCCCTTTCCCTTTTGCTAACCATAAGTTTGTTTTCCATGTCTGTGGGTCTGTTTCTCTGTGTCATATTTTAGATTCCACATATCAGTGATATCATAAGGTAGTTGTCTTCTCTTTCTGACTTATTTCACTTAGTATGATAATCTCTAGGTCCATCTGTGGTGCTGCAAATAGCTTATTTCATCCTTTTTTTTATTGCTGAGTAATTGTTCCAGTGTGTGTGTGTGTGTGTGTGTGTGTGTGTGTGTGATACACAGACACACACACATATATATCTCACATCTTCTCTATCCATTCATCTGTTAATGGACATTTATGTTGCTTCCATGTCTTTAGCCTAAGCTACCTCTATGCCCCACCTGAAGCTATAAAACTATCCTGACAGTTACAGTTGAAATATTACCTAGCTCTTCTGTTACCCATTCTGCCTTCTGTAGCCTGCTGAACTTTTTCCAAATATTTAGGTTATGCCATTCTCCCTATTTGAATTCCTTCTCATTGCTCCTGAGATAAGGGCAATATCCTGATTTGCTTAATGGTCCTTCAAGGTCCTTCCCTTGTAGGCAGCATCATCTTATAGGAGGCTGCTTTTATTTTCCCTTGCTTGACATCACGCTAGCCTTTGTTTTGCCTGTTTGCATGTCCCTTTCCCCTTTGTGTCCACTTTCTGTAATGCTCTCCTCTGCCCTATTCTTATCCTTTAGATCTCAGGTCACTTCAGGCAGCATTTGCTGAGCTCTTGACTCAGTAAAGCCCCCTTTGATGGCACTCGGCCCTTTGTATCTCTCAGCGTAGGATCTTTCCAGGTATAATCACAGGATGGCTGCTGTACTCCACCAGACCTATTATGTAGGTTTATTTGTTCCTTACATTTCTTTATTCATTCATTTATTTAACTGGCTGAGTCGGGTCTTGGTAGTTGCAGCATCCGCCGTCTTGGTTGCATCCTGCAGATCTCTCATTGTGGTGTGAGGGCTGTGTAGTTACAGCGTAAGGGCTCACTTGCTTTGAGGCGTGTGGAATCTTAGTTCCCTCATCAGGGCTCAAACCCATGTCCCCTTGCATTGCAAGGCAGATTTTTAACCACTGGATAATCAGGGAAGCCCCAGACCTAAGTTTCTTGAGGGCAGGCATCTCACTTGATTTTAGTCACCATCATTTGAACTTTACACAGAGCTCAGTAATGCTTGTCAAATGAATGAAGCAACAAATAAGCAATAAAACTCAGAGTCTAGGCAGGCTTTTATATACCAAATGCTTATCAGAGAAACGGGGTGCCTTCTGTTCTCTCTGTGGCTTTGTGTCTGTCTCTTCTTGTCGGTGGCCTTATAGTTGAAGTAATAAAATGCCACATGAACCAATTATTGCCACTTAATCTTATAGTCAATGTACTGAATGCATATGTAAGTTACTGTGGGACACAGAGGAATCAGATGGCGAGATGACCCCTAGCACATCTTTTCCACTTCCCCCACTCTGTTCTTGTCTGTTAACCTCTGCACAAGCTTCATGGCCCACACTGCTCTCTCCCAATCTTCTGCAGCTCATAAAACCATTTAAAATGCGTGAATTGAACAGTGTTAAGTCAAATAAAATTGTCTTAATAAAGATTACATAAAGACCATCTATATGTCTTCCTTGGAGAAATGTCTATTTAGGTCTTCCACCCATTTTTTGATTGGGTTGTTTGTTTCTTTGATATTGAACTTCATGAGCTGTTTGTGCATTTTAAAGACTAGTCCCTTGTTAGTTGCTTCATTTGCAAATATTTGCTCCCATTCTGAGGGTTGTCTTTTCAATTCATTTATGGTTTTCTTTGCTGTGCAAAAACTTTTAAATTTAATGCTCTGTGGTGACCCAGATGGATCGAATGAATGGGGGTTATGTGGGAGGGAGACCCAAGAGGGAGGGGAAATATGTATACATAGAGCTGATTCAGTTTGTTGTACAGCAGAAACTAACACAGCATTGTAAAGCAACTATACCCCAATTTTTAAAAAAGATAATATAAAGACAATAGAGTTCTTATTCAAAGAACGTGATGTGGTTAATACTATTAAATAGATTTCTTAAAAGATTCATTGTTCTCATTCAAAAATCTCCTTGGATTAGACATAAAGTGCTTAGCTATAGTATCAGAAATATTTGTGAAAGAAAACAAAATCAATACTTTGGATCTCATTGAAAGTAGAATCTTTTGTACTACAAAAGAAACCATGTAGAAAATGAAGACATAGGGTACAGGGTGGGAGAAAATATTTATAAATCATGTAAGTTTACATTTGTAGGATTTGTGGTAAATCATACATGTGCCAATAAAGAACTTGTACACAGAATATATAGGTAACTCTTACAACTACATAATAAGAATACATACAGCCCAGTTAAAAATGGGCAAAACATTTGAGAACATATTTTAATAAAGATATGTAAATGCCTAATACACACAT